TTGGGTTTAGAAAGGTTGTATTTTAAGTTAGTGACTCCCTTTGTATTTGATTGGTTAAGCCCCTTTGAGGTCAGGGGACTTTGTAGAATAGACCTCCAGCCCATTAGGGGCTTGTCGACAGAGGGGTGTTATTTAATGGTTAAACTTAGGCCCTGAATTTTCGGGAAGGCTTGGCTTTGAGTTGGTGTGTGCTTAAAAAGTTGAGGCTTTGCTGAAAATTCTTCCCTTTAGCTGTAAGGAGGAATGGGTTGGAAGGTGGGCTAGTTTGATAGGGTCTTTATATGTGAGTAAGATGGGATTATGGTTTGGGAATTGTCTATTTAGCTCTTGGGGGTCATAATTTTCTGTTAGGAGGATGTAGATTTGGGGTTGGAATATGTAGCATTGGGGGTCATCCTTTTCTATTGGGTGGGGTAGATTATAGAGGGAGGTTGTGTAGGTAGCCCCTTTGTATTGGTTAAACTTCTTTGTGTTTGATTGGTTAAGCCCCTTGGGTTATCATCTCTTGTTATAAGTATAGGGTTGGAGTTGGTGTATTTGGGTTGTAGGATGTTTGTTTTGTATTAGGAGGGTGGGGATAGGAAGGGTTTGGGAATTGTCTATTTAGTTCTTGGGGGTCTTCATTTTCTGTTAGGAAGGTAGAGTTTTGGGTTGGAATATGTAGCATAGGGGGTCATCCTTTTCTATTGGGAGGGGTAGATTATAGAGGGAGGTTGTGTAGGTAGCCCCTTTGTATTGGTTAAACTTCTTTGTGTTTGATTGGTTAAGCCCCTTGGGTTGTCATATCTTGTAATTAGTATAGGGTTGGAGTTGGCGTATATAGATTGTAGGATTCTCGTTTTGTATTAGGAGGGTGGGGATAGGAAGGGTTTGGGAATTGTCTATTTAGCTCTTGGGGGTCTTCATTTTCAGTTAGGAAGGTAGAGTTTTGGGTTGGAATATGTAGCATAGGGGGTCATCCTTTTCTATTGGGAGGGGTAGATTATAGAGGGAGGTTGTGTAGGTAGCCCCTTTGTATTGGTTAAACTTCTTTGTGTTTGATTGGTTAAGCCCCTTGGGTTGTCATATCTTGTAATTAGTATAGGGTTGGAGTTGGTGTATATAGATTGTAGGATTCTCGTTTTGTATTAGGAGGGTGGGGATAAGAAGGGTTTGGGAATTGTCTATTTAGCTCTTGGGGGTATTCATTTTCTGTTAGGAAGGTAGAGTTTTGGGTTGGAATATGTAGCATAGGGGGTCATCCTTTTCTATTGGGAGGGGTAGATTATAGAGGGAGGTTGTGTAGGTAGCCCCTTTGTATTGGTTAAACTTCTTTGTGTTTGATTGGTTAAGCCCCTTGGGTTGTCATATCTTGTAATTAGTATAGGGTTGGAGTTGGCGTATATAGGTTGTAGGATTCTCGTTTTGTATTAGGAGGGTGGGGATAGGAAGGGTTTGGGAATTGTCTATTTAGCTCTTGGGGGTCTTCATTTTCAGTTAGGAAGGTAGAGTTTTGGGTTGGAATATGTAGCATAGGGGGTCATCCTTTTCTATTGGGAGGGGTAGATTATAGAGGGAGGTTGTGTAGGTAGCCCCTTTGTATTGGTTAAACTTCTTTGTGTTTGATTGGTTAAGCCCCTTGGGTTGTCATCTCTTGTAATTAGTATAGGGTTGGAGTTGGTGTATATAGATTGTAGGATTCTCGTTTTGTATTAGGAGGGTGGGGATAGGAAGGGTTTGGGAATTGTCTATTTAGCTCTTGGGGGTCTTCATTTTCAGTTAGGAGGATGCAGATTTGGGTGGGAATATGTAGCATAGGGGGTCATCCTTTTCTATTGGGAGGTGTAGATTATAGAGGGAGGTTGTGTAGGTAGCCCCTTTGTATTGGTTAAACTTCTTTGTGTTTGATTGGTTAAGCCCCTTGGGTTGTCATCTCTTGTAATTAGTATAGGGTTGGAGTTGGCGTATATAGGTTTTAGGTTTCTCGTTTTGTATGAGAAGGGTTGGGTTAAGAAAGGTGGTATTTTAAGTTAGTGACTCCCTTTGTATTTGATTGGTTAAGCCCCTTTGAGGTCAGGGGACTTTGTAGAATAGACCTCCAGCCCATTAGGGGCTTGTCGACAGAGGGGTGTTATTTAATGGTTAAACTTAGGCCCTGAATTTTCGGGAAGGCTTGGCTTTGAGTTGGTGTGTGCTTAAAAAGTTGATGCTTTGCTGAAAATTCTTCCCTTTAGCTGTAAGGAGGAATGGGTTGGAAGGTGGGCTAGTTTGATAGGGTCTTTATATGTGAGTAAGATGGGATTATGGTTTGGGAATTGTCTATTTAGCTCTTGGGGGTCATAATTTTCTGTTAGGAGGATGTAGATTTGGGGTTGGAATATGTAGCATTGGGGGTCATCCTTTTCTATTGGGAGGGGTAGATTATAGAGGGAGGTTGTGTAGGTAGCCCCTTTGTATTGGTTAAACTTCTTTGTGTTTGATTGGTTAAGCCCCTTGGGTTGTCATCTCTTGTTATTAGTATAGGGTTGGGTTGGTCTATTTGGGTTGTAGGATGTTTGTTTTGTATTAGGAGGGTGGGGATAGGAAGGGTTTGGGAATTGTCTATTTAGCTCTTGGGGGTCTTCATTTTCAGTTAGGAAGGTAGAGTTTTGGGTTGGAATATGTAGCATAGGGGGTCATCCTTTTCTATTGGGAGGGGTAGATTATAGAGGGAGGTTGTGTAGGTAGCCCCTTTGTATTGGTTAAACTTCTTTGTGTTTGATTGGTTAAGCCCCTTGGGTTGTCATCTCTTGTTATTAGTATAGGGTTGGAGTTGGCTATATAGGGTTGTAGGATGTTTGTTTTGTATTAGGAGGGTAGGGATAGGAAGGGTTTGGGAATTGTCTATTTAGCTCTTGGGGGTCTTCATTTTCAGTTAGGAAGGTAGAGTTTTGGGTGGGAATATGTAGCATAGGGGGTCATCCTTTTCTATTGGGAGGGGTAGATTATAGAGGGAGGTTGTGTAGGTAGCCCCTTTGTATTGGTTAAACTTCTTTGTGTTTGATTGGTTAAGCCCCTTGGGTTGTCATCTCTTGTTATTAGTATAGGGTTGGAGTTGGCGTATATAGGTTGTAGGTTTCTCGTTTTGTATTAAGAGGGTTGGGTTAAGAAAGGTGGTCTTTTAAGTTAGTGACTCCCTTTGTATTTGATTGGTTAAGCCCCTTTGAGGTCAGGGGACTTTGTAGAATAGACCTCCAGCCCATTAGGGGCTTGTCGACAGAGGGGTGTTGTTTAATGGTTAAACTTAATGGTTAAACTTAGGCCCTGAATTTTCGGGAAGGCTTGACTTTGAGTTGGTGTGTGCTTAAAAAGTTGATGCTTTGCTGAAAATTCTTCCCTTTAGCTGTAAGGAGGAATGGGTTGGAAGATGGGCTAGTTTGATAGGGTCTCAATATGTGAGTAAGATGGGATTATGGTTTGGGAATTGTCTATTTAGCTCTTGGGGGTCATAATTTTCTGTTAGGAGGGTGTAGATTTGGGGTTGGAATATGTAGCATAGGGGGTCATCCTTTTCTGTTGGGAGGGGTAGATTATAGAGGGAGGTTGTGTAGGTAGCCCCTTTGTATTGGTTAAACTTCTTTGTGTTTGATTGGTTAAGCCCCTTGGGTTGTCATCTCTTGTTATTAGTATAGGGTTGGATTGGTGTATTTGGGTTGTAGGGTGTTTGTTTAGTATTAGGAGGGTGGGGTTAAGAAGGGTTTGGGAATTGTCTATTTAGCTCTTGGGGGTCTTCATTTTCAGTTAGGAAGGTAGAGTTTTGGGTTGGAATATGTAGCATAGGGGGTCATCCTTTTCTATTGGGAGGGGTAGATTATAGAGGGAGGTTGTGTAGGTAGCCCCTTTGTATTGGTTAAACTTCTTTGTGTTTGATTGGTTAAGCCCCTTGGGTTGTCATCTCTTGTAATTAGTATAGGGTTGGAGTTGGTGTATATAGGTTGTAGGATTCTCGTTTTGTATTAGGAGGGTGGGGATAGGAAGGGTTTGGGAATTGTCTATTTAGCTCTTGGGGGTCTTCATTTTCAGTTAGGAAGGTAGAGTTTTGGGTTGGAATATGTAGCATAGGGGGTCATCCTTTTCTATTGGGAGGGGTAGATTATAGAGGGAGGTTGTGTAGGTAGCCCCTTTGTATTGGTTAAACTTCTTTGTGTTTGATTGGTTAAGCCCCTTGGGTTGTCATCTCTTGTTATTAGTATAGGGTTGGAGTTGGTGTATTTGGGTGGTAGGGTTTCTCATTTTATATAAGATGTTGGGGATAGGAAGGGTTTGGGAATTGTCTATTTAGCTCTTAGGGGTCTTCATTTTCTGTTAGGAAGGTAGGGTTTTGGGTGGGAATATGTAGCATGGGGGGTCATCCTTTTCTATTGGGAGGGGTAGATTATAGAGGGAGGTTGTGTAGGTAGCCCCTTTGTATTGGTTAAACTTCTTTGTGTTTGATTGGTTAAGCCCCTTGGGTTGTCATCTCTTTGTATTAGTATAGGGTTGGAGTTGGCGTATATAGGTTGTAGGATTCTCGTTTTGTATGAGAAGGGTTGGGTTAAGAAAGGTGGTATTTTAAGTTAGTGACTCCCTTTGTATTTGATTGGTTAAGCCCCTTTGAGGTCAGGGGACTTTGTAGAATAGACCTCCAGCCCATTAGGGGCTTGTCGACAGAGGGGTGTTATTTAATGGTTAAACTTAGGCCCTGAATTTTCGGGAAGGCTTGACTTTGAGTTGGTGTGTGCTTAAAAAGTTGAAGCTTTGCTGAAAATTCTTCCCTTTAGCTGTAAGGAGGAATGGGTTGGAAGGTGGGCTAGTTTGATAGGGTCTTTATATGTGAGTAAGATGGGATTATGGTTTGGGAATTGTCTATTTAGCTCTTGGGGGTCATAATTTTCTGTTAGGAGGGTGTAGATTTGGGGTTGGAATATGTAGCATAGGGGGTCATCCTTTTCTATTGGGAGGGTAGATTATAGAGGGAGGTTGTGTAGGTAGCCCCTTTGTATTGGTTAAACTTCTTTGTGTTTGATTGGTTAAGCCCCTTGGGTTGTCATCTCTTGTTATTAGTATAGGGTTGGAGTTGGTGTATTTAGGTTGTAGGGTTTCTCGTTTTAAGGCCTTTTAAGGTCAGGGGACTTTGTAGAATAAATCTCCAGCCCAGTCTTTTACTGTATGTCATTTCTTTATCGTGTTTTGGTAAAAATGCACTACTATAAAATAAGGCCTGCCTCTTACTGTTCGTATGAAACAATGCCGACTATTTTCTTTCAGAAAAGAAGAATTCTGCATATAAGAGATTCTTTTACCAACGCTTCTCTTCAGCCTTCGGAAAAGGCTAAATGACACATATTAGCCTTAACATATATATGTGTACATTTGGATAAGCCATTCAGGTAATGAAAATTGAAACATAGAAATTTATATAGAAAAGTCTATTTTATAAAGGTGATATGAATATGGGTCTCAATTGTTAGTCCACTATTTATACAATGAATTGATGACAGATTTGTCCGTTATTTCCTGATTATGACAAGGAGCACACAACGTGTGTGACTTGTCAGCAGGGGATGCTCACTCATCTATGGCACTTGATCCCACCTCTGATGTTTCAGAGGTCTGTGTTTGCTCTGCTCTTATTTTGTATCCTTTCATTGACTTTGAGATTGAATACTGTTCGTTATCTCTATATCCTTCATATGGAAACATTCTTAGGTTGTGTAAAACATGTCCAAATGATGACCCCCGTAGTATATGCGGGGTCAAAGTTTTTCATAGGAATTCATATACATGTATATGAAAGAGTCTTTCAAAATCTGAAAAATGATAAATTATTAATTAACATATAATACACTGTCTGTAATTATGATGACATTGATTTGTGAAATTTTCCAAGTGAAGACCACAAATTTTTTTTATGAATAACTTTTTTTATGGTTGCACAATGTTTGTTCAAATTTGTATTTTAGTAGGGAAATACAATTTTGATGCTAATTCTATTTCTGTGGACTTTATACCTATAATGTTTGGGCAAAGAGAGTTTGCTGAGCAAAAAATATAATGCTGCATGAGGTGATTATTTTATAAAAACCTTAAAAATATGGACTTTGTTAGATTGAATGACTGTTTTTAAGTTGATTTTGGATGATCCTTCTTCTGATATGGAAAAATAATACCAACTTAGTGTTGTGTAATGGGATAATTAAATTTGATATATGTTATGTATTCATTATCACTCCTTTCATTTTCTTTTCTTCTTTTTTATGCCACTTATGTTACTTTGAATCACATAACCCCATTTTTTTATTCTTATATTTAGAAGAAAAGGATTTATTCATGGAAACATGTTGTGTAAAACTGTATTTTAAGTTTTAAATGATGACCCCCAAGATTAATGCAGGGTCAAAGTTTTTCATAGGAATTCATATACATGTATATGAAAGAGTCTTTCAAAATCTGAAAAATGATAAATTATTAATAAACAAGGTATATCTGGTATTGACTCAGGTGAGCATTGTATCTCATGGGCCTCTTTAAATACAGTGTTTATTCAGAAAAATATGTTTAAAAAGAAAAAAAAAAGCTGATTGAGGAAATTTAAAAAAAAATGTAAAATTAATCATAATAAGAAGGTAAATTTTGTCCTTCACACTTGATTCCAATGATAATGAATTGTGACTTTTTGTTTTAGAGAGGGATGCTGACATAATGTAGATTGCTGACATTAGGAAGGATCCCATTCAGACAACTACAATTCTACTGACTGGATAAAATTAATACCAAGGCCATGTGTGGTACTGGATAGAATTAATACCAAGGCCACTTGTGTTACTGGATAAAATTAATACCAAGGCCATTGTGTTACTGGACTATTAGTCAGGGATTAAAATTAATACCAAGGCCACTTGTGTTACTGGATAAAATACTAAGACCACTTGTGTTACTGGATAGAATTAATACCAAGGCCACTTGTGTTACTGGACTATTAGTCAGGGATAGAGTTTTATAGTGAAACAGTGTGATTAGAGTACAGACTTTCTGCCCATAATGGACTTCACAAAACAGTGCTATTAGAGTTCAGACTTTCTGCTCATAATGGACTTCACAAAACAGTGCTATTGGAGTTCAGACTTTCTGCTCATAATGGACTTCACAAAACAGTGCTATTAGAGTTCAGACTTTCTGCTCATAATGGACTTCACAAAACAGTGCTATTGGAGTTCAAACTTTCTGCCCATAATGGACTTCACAAAACAGTGCTATTAGAGTTCAGACTTTCTGCTCTTAATTATTTTTTTTCATTACCTTAGTTGAATAAAAATTCTTCACCAACTTTTTGGCAGTACTCATAACTGTAAAATTTTAACTGAATAAAAGAAAAACAGAAGTATTTTAGATTTTTTTAAAAAGATTCTTTTAGATACTGCCATTTTCAAATCTGGGCTGTCAAGTTAACTTTTCTGATCACCTTTGCTTAGATACGTCCGTTTGTCTTTTCATCCATCTATAATTTATTTTTTTTTTGGAAAGTACCATCCATGGTAAAAAGAGTTCAAGTTTGACTGATGCAGGACTGTGTCCAAGAGAGATAAATATACAAGTAAACGCAGTATTGGGGTGTTCAATAAAGTTTTATATAGAACCTCTGAGCTAGAAGTATACAATATGACCTACAATGATTAAGTGAATTGCAGCTACAGCTATCCTTATGGTAAAACGCCAAGATAGAAATAGCATTACTTAAATCAGTGTCGTAAATTATTGCATTGATAATTAACCTTCTCAACAGCTTCAGGTTTCGTCAAAGGTCAATTAACATGTCTAAAAATTATTTTTACAACGGCTCCTAAACAATTGGTATAAAGTCAAAATGTATCATTGATTAATAGATAAAAAAGTATCACTTGATAAACATTTTTTAAAAAGTTATTTTTTTAGAAGAATTGTATCAGAAAATGTGCATATTTAAAGTGAAATGTACCTGCTTAATTCTGTCCTTTTTGTGAAAACCATCATCACTGTATACAAAGTGCTAATCGAAAATCTACTTGATTTGGATCACTTGCTATATTGCTTTGGGTACTCTGATGCATTATGAGTAAAAAAGAAAATTCTGCGGGCAAAATATAATTAAAAGTAACTTTAACAAATTAGGAAACTTATCAAATCTTTATAGAATCAATGTTAATTGATTTGAGAATTTTTTTCAATTGAAACATATTAGAAATTAGAACATATTAGAAATTCGATACCGTTCTCATTTACTTTGTTAAAATGGGATTTTCGCTCATTTTGAATTATTTCAATTGTTCTTAATATTTTCAAACTATATTCTGTTGTAAAAGTAATTGTATCTAAGTTTCTCCTCAATTCACACACGAAACATCATCTGATTTCTATAAATTACGCTTTTTAGAGAAATTTAGCTATTCTTGTTTTGAGTGAATGCTATACTATGTTTGCAGCATATTTTTGCGATGGCTATACTTTTTTCAGATCTTTTTTGTGATTTGCATGAAAATAAGATTTATTGTTTTTTGATAAAATTATCGCGATTTAAACAGTTTTGAAAAAAATATTGGCATTTATTATCACAAGAAAAGCATTTATCAGTTATCAGAGAGAAGTTAAACAGAAATAAATAATTATAGAAATTGAGGAAATGCACTATCATTGCTCGTGTTTGTGCGATACTTGATTTGCGTTTCGTCGCGATTGATTCAAAAAATGCTATGTTTGATTTCTTGAAGAATAAAGGCGTATATATAGGGGGAGTATAATGCAAAGACACTGTCTCAATTTTTTGTCATTAAATAACTCAATGATAAATACACGTAATATATTTTCACTTATGTTTTAAAGGTATTTAAAACGGATAAAAGGGGCTTCAATAACTAATCTAACTTTTTCCAAAGCTCATGATAGGCGTAAGACTGAATGCGCTAACCACGATGCTCCGGTGTCACCTTGATGTTTGTGTGTCAGTTTGCTCTAAAGAAAGGCACTTATTACTTAATTTATCTTAGGTCGATTTTTTTTTTTTTTTTGGGGGGGGGGGGGGGGCTTCTTTCACCCAATTGTTTTGTTTTTATACTAAATTTGATTACGAAACGCTCCGTTTACTTGATCAATATATAGGACTCACAGCGGATGTGATCAATCAACAAGGAATGTCTACTCCTCTTCGGCACCTGAAACTTCTCCGTCATAGAGCGGGTGATTGTCCTCGCCATTAGCTGCAGATCTGTAGCGTTATGGTTTTATATATTTGTCTTTGACCATAACACTAATAATTAAATAACCATGACACTTTTCTCTCTGTTTTATAAATCTATGATAAAGAGATTATAATACAGGTTTTGTAATATTTCACCTATTTTCACACTATCATCAGACATCAGAACTAAAAATCTGAATCAGAATCTATGAAGATAAAAGTTTAATTAAAATTTAGCATTACTCAGTATATCCCCATAGACAGATCCAGAAAAGCGGATATAGGCCAGGGAATCAAAACCTGATAAATTTTACAAATTCACTTAAATTTAAGAATATTGAAGTAACCATATCAAAATAACTTTGCCACCCTCCCCAAGAAACACAAACTCTTAACAGTCAGTCTACGATAAAGGAATTATAGTTATGGAAGTTAATTGATTTGCACCGATATGCCATGATTTCTATGAAAAAAGATCCATGCATATCTTTGAGAAATGCGGTAACCGTTTGTTTTCTTTTTATTACATAAAAACATTTTAAATATTCCATGCAATCTCTTCTTAACGCTTATTTGGCTGAATTAAAATCAGTAAATGAACAGAGCGGCATTAAGATTTGAAGTTGAATGCATTTTAATCATTAATTTCTGATCCAAATTTTGAATACATAAATATACCTTTAAATATTTACAAAACCATGTGTATATATAAGGTGCGGTCACACGATACGATTTTTCATCCGATTTTCATTCGACTTGCTCAGGTAAGTCGAATGGAGTCGATTGGTAGAGTGGTCACACGATCCGATTTTACATTCGATTTTCCATCCGATTTTGACAAGAGAGAAGCAGGTGCTTGTTTTCCGTTTATTTCATTTTAATCGGATTTTGCTAAATAAAATAAATATTATTAAGTAAAGAGTATTAGCGATCATTTATCTAATTGAACATTACGTCATTCTAATTATGACGTTTGAAGCTGACGTAATTTTCGCACGGTCAGTGAAAAAAGATGATGGCAAGAAAAAAGAAAACAATACTTACGTGCATTGTTGCTGCTTTGGCAGTGAAAAGGAGTTTTAAAAAAGAAAGATCATGGACTAGGCTATGGCTAACCAGGAGGAATGAACTGGGTATGAGAAAAAATATATTGAATACTCTAGCAATTTTTCTTATTATTTGAAAGATACGTTATTTTCGCTCGAATAAGGGAAGTCAAAACTGAAATATATTTTCTTTCAATTCAATCGATGATTTGATTTAACAAATTGATAATTTTCTAGACAAAATTGAAATTGAAACTCATCACACAATTAAGAGTAGTATTACAGGCGCGTAGCCAGGCGTATGTTTGTGCACACAAACGTCCACATCATTTCTTAAGAGAGAGAGAGACGTAATTTCCAATGTTTTCCAACGTACGATAGCTAAAGCTAGAACATAAATATATCATTTAGCAAGAAATAGAAAATGCCTTTAATTTAAGAATACCGATAAAATATATACAAAATGACAACAGAATCAGTTTTATAGAGAAAAACGATAGTGTGCAGTGCAGCACCTCTTTAAAATCATTAGATTTTCCCGGAATTTGGTAAACTATTTAATATTGTTGAGCTTTTTCTAGTGCATTTCATTCTTATATTGGCTTTTCGATCTAAGATTGAACGATATTGGACGGATCCTATCTCGTGTTTTTAGTGTTTGTCCGCATTTTGTACAAAAATAGAACAGACCTCTAATATAGCTGCGTTAGCCTAAACAAACATTTAGTCAGTGTCAGAAAAATGCGATCAGAGGCTTGTTGACCGTGAAAACCCTTTAGAATTAATGCCAGAGGAGGAGATTTTCAAAAGATACCGTTTCCGCCCGGCCACAATTTTGTCGATAGTGAATCTACTTAGACAATCCCTTGAGAGAGATACTCTGCGAAGCTGTGCCCTCACCCCCCTTCTGCAAGTTTTGGCCACGCTAAGATTTCTCGCCACAGGAGGTTTTTATTCCTTAGTGGCCGATACATTTGACAGCCTGTCCCCATCCACTGTGTGCAGGGCGGTTAAGGATGTGTGCCATGGTTTGTGTCAGGTGTCGAGACAATTTATAAGGATGCCGGCAAGAAACGCAGCTGATGAAGTTAAAAAGCAGTTCTATTCCATAGCAGGTAAACAACAAAACAAGGGAAGTAATCACAGAACAAATGGGTGCAAGTTAAATTGTACCATAAATCCTTCGAATCAATCAAGTATTTTGATTTTACATGCTTCTTACATTTTGTTGCAACAGATACTTGAAAAAAAAAATAACAGAAAGGAAAAAGAAATGGAATGTCTTTATTATGAAGTTTATTTACACCTTCATGTACATATAATTGTTCCAAAACATTAATGGGAAAGGGTGTTCATGGGCACCTGAAGTGTGGAACCCCTTTCCCCCTCCCCCTCAAATGTTACTACTGAGTTTTAAGAAAGCGTAAGAACTTATAATTTCTCAATACATTATATTTTCCCATTAGTCACACCCATATGTTATTCCGTACAAGCAGATTGTACTTATTCTTTTGTTTAGAAGTAGACAATGTTCAGTATAAAGTTACATGTATATATACGTATGTCTATATGGCCATTCTCTAAACGTAAGAAAAAGTTTAATCCTGACTATATTGAACAAAAAATGGGTGCAATTGATTGGGAAATCTCCTAATTTTAAGAGGTTAAATTCTCTTCACTTTTTTAATTAAAGTAATGGCGTATCTGAGTTGATCATATTACGAGATAGAGAATAAATTTAATTGTATGTACATGATATTATATGTAAGATACATTCAAATTAACGATTTCGCCGATTTTTAATTTGAAATATTATATAACTTTGTGAAATCCGGTAATCTGATTGGTCAATACGAAGTACTTATTTTTTAATAACGACCGCTGAAGGCGAATAATGACTCGCACGAGCTGCCTCGTTTTCACTTTCGCTTTAGACAAACATGGAAGTTCGCAAGTTGTAGGTGAGGAAAATTTAAAACATATAGTGAAGAACTCTGAGACTGATAATACAAAACAATTACTAGGATATTCGTGAATATTTTTCGGGAATAATTAGCACATACCATTTCATGGTTGAATTCGACCTTTCCACTCAGCCAGCAGAGTTTTGACGCTGTTTGTAAACGCGATTACGGAGAATAAAGAAAATATAGACAAGCATACCATGTAAGATTGTATTTATTCTTAGAAGACATAGGTATTTATATTTTGTCAGTGCATTCCGTCTGAGACTGATAATACAAAACAATTACTAGGATATTCGTGAATATTTTTCGGGAATAATTAGCACATACCATTTCATGGTTGAATTCGACCTTTCCACTCAGCCAGCAGAGTTTTGACGCTGTTTGTAAACGCGATTACGGAGACTAAAGAAAATATAGACAAGCATACCATGTAAGATTGTATTTATTCTTAGAAGACATAGGTATTTATATTTTGTCAGTGCATTTCGTCTGCAAGTGTAAACGAGAGGGATTCTCAATCTGGAGGATGGGGTACTCTGTGTTATTCGGAGACAGATATCTTGCGTCATTTTTATGACATGGGGAATTTATTGCCAAAACAATTTCCTCTGAGTAATATTCAATGAATTTTGAAACATTTACATTCAACTTATTTATGGTTAATACTATCTCTGTAAATAATAGGATGATATACATTGCACTAATAAATTTAGCAAATTATTATTTATATAATATAATAAATATGGACTCAATGCACGGTCAATATGCATTTATAATGACCCAGAATGACAGATATTGACCTCAGATACATGAAGTATATCGACCTCGGGCTAGCGCCCTCGGTCGATATACTCCATGTATCTGAGGTCAATATCTGTCACCCTGGGTAATTATAAATGCATATTGACCTATATTGAGTCCATATTTGTATAATATATATATCTGGGATATATGGTTAAATTGACTTTAAACTTGTCTGTTATTTACATGTTTAGTCGGTACATGCAAATAAGTTGGATATTGTTTAAAATTTTCGATATACTTTGAAAGGCGTTTGAATTGCATGTAAGAAGTGCAATTAACAGAAAAGTCAAATCATATTAGAAAGTAATAAATGTAATAGAAAATATTTTCAATATTTGGATTATCAACTTAAGAAAAATACAGAGAGAGAGGGGGGGGGGGCACTACCTCAATATCAAAATCATCAAACAAACAAAATTAAAAAACAAAACAAAAATAATTTAAAGCCAAAATAGCGGTAAATTAGGAGACAGAAGATGGTTATTTTCCATTGTAAAGTTGCAACATGCTTGAATATTTTTCATTTTATTTATTTCATGGTCCTAGGTTTTCCAAATGTCCTCGGTTGTGTTGATGGTACCTACATCAAAATTCAGGCACCTTCAGAGAATGAGCCAGATTATTTGAACAGAAAAGGGTACCATTCTCTGAATGTACAGGTAATTTGTTATGATGAAGTATAAATTATTTGCAATGGCCATAAACTGATCGTAAAATTAAATTTTTAAGAGATTTTCTGTTGTTCTATTCAAACATAAAAAAAAAAAAAAATAAAAAATCACTTTCTACTAATATATTCAGTTACTAGTACATGTATTTGTATAAATATCAGATGATCTCCGATGGTAAATTCCGGATTTTGAACTGTGTTGCCAAGTGGCCCGGAAGTGTACATGACAGCCGGATTTTCCGAGACAGTCATATAAGCATTGCCTTTGAAAATGGTACTCCATTTGTCAAGTTTTGTTAATTTATAAGTTAAATAATTATTGTATTAAATCAATCCATGTTTATGAAAAGAAATCCCACTTTTCGACAGCAGTAAATTCTACATAATTCTATAAAAGCGTGATGCGACTGACATTAATTGCCTGGGATCACTACCTTTGGAAAATCATCCACTAGTACTTATTGCACTTTTGTTGAGTTCCCTCAGAAATTAGAGTGCAATTTTTCCCCAAAGTTTTATTAGAAAGGGGGAGGGGTACAAATGTGAATGATATTAGTACTTTCAAGTATAATCTTAAACTCTCTTTTAATATTTAAGGACAGTATCCAGGACTACTCTTGGGGGACTCTGGTTACCCGTGCAAACCCCACCTTATGACACCATACCCTGTTCCTTCAAATGATGCAGAAGCAAGATTCAACAACGCTCACGCTAAAACCAGAGTTGTCATTGAGCAAACCTTTGGAATCTTGAAGAAGAGGTTTGCGTGCCTCCATAGCGGTTTGGGAACAACTCCTGAAAAGGCATGCGATATTACTTTGGCATGCGCAGTTTTACACAACATCGGAATCGATCGTAATGACATACTGTATATTGATGATGGTGTATATGTCAACCAGGGGGATGTTAATCTTAATGTAAGGGATCAGTGGGACGGCAAAGATGTTAGAAATTACATATGCAGGTCTTTTTTTGCATAAAGTATTACATTGTTTGTAACAACTGTATCCCTTGTACAGTAATCATTATACATAGACAACATAAACATTTGATTTTGTATAGAGTCTAGAAATCATCATACTCATAGACTAGCAAAGAAAACATGGTTTGAATAGCATGTAAATGCAGATATGCATAATTTATTATGTCCATGTAATCAAAGACTCAGGGGCATATAGATTTTGCCCTGCCCGTCCATCTGTCTGTCTATTTGTCTGCCAAAACTTTAACCTCTCTCATAATTTTCAATTGGTTGAAGCTGTATTTTTCATATTTCATGTGTATTCCTTGTGAATGGGACCAATCTTTGAGTACCAACAAATTTGACCTATTGACCTAGATTTTGGAGTTTGGCCCACTTTATAAAAAAACTTGAACAATGGCCATAACTTTTTTAATGGTTAGAGCTGGGGTTTTCACACTTCTTATATGTAATTCTTATGACAAGACCTTTCTTTAGATATCAACAACTAAGATTTGATCTTGACCTTGAAGTTTGACCTACCTCTAAAAAAAATTAACCTTGGCCATAACTTTTTAAATAAATGGTGCTAGGGCTTTCATATTTCACAAGTATTTCTTGTGAGAAGACCTTTATTACTTTGAGTACCAAAATATCCAATTTCCATTTGAGAAAGTTTAACCTTTGCTACAGTTTGCCATACGGGGGCATCAGAGTTTCGCAAACTCATCTTGTTTTAAAATATTTTTACTCTCTTGGCCGACTCATCTTGTTTTAAAATATTTTTACTCTCTTGGCCTAAACCTTGGACTTTGACCTTTTACAAAAGTTGTCATACAGGGAGCATCAGTGTCAAACAAATACATCTTGCTTTTCATTATGTATGCTTTACAAGATTTTTTAAGTTATAAGTGGTAATAATAAATTTATTATATGCCATTGTAATATAGATTTAAGTAACAATTTTCAGTACAATGATGAAACACTACTAAAATATTTTTGTACTGCTTAAAAATTACAAGTAATATGATATACCAGAAATCAAAAAAAAAAAAAAGAAACACAAATAACTAATTATATAATGGTTTATAAAATCATATTTAATATCTGTACTGAAACTGAACATGATGAACTCAGTATTTACACCTTAATATACTGTAATACATGGCACTGTTTTTTTTTTTTAATTCCAAAAAAAAAAAATTATTAGTGTTCAGACCTTCCTTAAAATCATTGTAATGTGTAAGATAATTTTACAAAAATCCACATGGAAGCTGAACACATTTATCACAGATCTTTCACTTTGATGTAATGAAATAGAATATCACATATACATATTAAAGAATTAATCAATATGTATAATTTCTGCAAGATGTAATTTTCTGTAACATTTATTACAATGTTCTTTTGACTTGACTACCTCAGGAAGAAAAATTTCTTTTTGTATTGCATAGGAAAAACTAACAGTTATTGTTTATGAATACATGTACATGTAGATGTATTAATTTGGCTAAAATGTGGGCTCAAAATATTTACATACAGTGGTTTGGATTTACACATAGGCATTAATGATAACTTTAATTAATATAACAACATTTGTTTCATATGATATGCTGCCATTGTCAATTTTCAAAATAACTTCAGTCTTCAATAGTTTATATTGTCATTTTTTTTTCTCAAATGAAAGTTTGTCATACATATGAATTAATAAATGCACCAGCTTTTAATAGCAACAATTATTTGTTCATTCTTATTTCAGAAAATAATTGAAATTTCATTAAATTTCTCAAATGTTTGGTACAACAATATCCAAATTTATAAATAATAACATATACATGAAAAATCTAGTCTTCAAACAAAGCACTGATACATGTATTAGTGCATATTTCAATTAAATAATTGACCTTTGAATTACATGAGGAGTTACATACCTCTCACATCTAGTTCAGATTTAGAATATGCTGCATTAATTAATATCTGAAAATTTGATTAAAGGCCATGGATAACATAGATTTATTAGGAATACAAATGTATCCAGTAATTCTTGGCAAATTGTACCATTAAATTATCACTCAGCAGCAATAAATATTTAAAGTCAGGTACTTGTTCACTTGCAATTAGAACTGAGTTCTTAAACGGAGTACATCAAGCAAATCATGTTTACTGTTGGCCTGAAAGAGGGAGTGACAAGTTCACCTTGCATGTAAAGCAAAAAAAAAATAATAGTCTTGTTTCCTGCAAATTTTAAACGGGGCGAAATGAAATAATACATATAATGTCTGTAAGTGTAAAAAGTGTAAAAGGGTGAAAATTAAATGGGGCGAAAATACTCCTGTATACAGTATCTAATTAAACATGTCACATGTCAATATTGTCTTTTAAAATTAAAGAATGAGTGCACTAAGTACGTTTTTGGAACCTTTTCGGCTACCCATTTTGATTTGAACATATTTTATTATGTAAGAAATACATAGAAGGATTGGGCAGCAAGCACAGCCTACATAAGCCCTCTTTATTGGCTACCCATTTTAACCTTAACATATATCGCTAAATTAATTCATGATTAATGTGCAAGCATATGCTTTTGATATTTATTTTTAGAATTTTTTTTATACAATAAATAACATATTTCTATAAGTACAGGAAAATTTAATCAAAAATAACATGTAAAAGCCTTAAATTCGAACGGGACCACTTTTGAATCTAAGGTATCTGCAAATAGGTGGATACATTTTTACCGCATAGTTTTGGAATGTAATCATTAGCACATATGATTTTAATATAATATACCACGTCTTCTCTTCCATTATTTTGGCGCTTTTTGGCGTTGCAGACGATGATTTACATTGGATACTATAACCGGAAGTAAAGAACAAGGCCGCTTATGCGACGTTGAAAAAAACTCAGTTGAGAAAAAAATAAACTTAGGTGAGATTTGTCTGAGTTTGTTTCGAGAAACGTGATTTGAGAAAACTCTTAGCTGAGTATTTTCTCAGAGTTTGAGATTGAACTTGAGTAAAAACTTAAGATTTTTTCGAGAAATCCAAGCCAGGATCGAGGGTCGGTTTCGGATATTCTCATAGAAATAATCGAAAATTTATTTATTTTCGGGGCATTTTCGCTGGACCCACTGAGGTTATTAAAACCGCCTCCATTCCCGAGCCTATACTCGGGCCTCTACATCAAACGTACCCTGGCTACGCCCCTGTGCACGTGTCTAAATATATATACTACATGTATATCCTAGTACAGATCAATATTTGAAAATGATCTGTGGACATATATGTAACCTATGAGAGTTGGCTCCTGGTCCTTTTTGAGAAATAAACTTATCTTAATAGCAGGGTTTTATATTATATCACACATGAAATAATCCTCCAGAAACAAGAACAAGACGGAAATTTTACTGTATGTGTAAATGTGTATCTGCATGAATTGATCTCATATTTCTGATTTCATATGCAAAAAATGTTTCAAGTTCCACAAATAGACCGTAAGCATATATCGATATAGCTTATATACTTCTTTTAGGAATATGGCAGAATTTGCTTAGGGAAATGTCGGTTGAAGACAGCCAATCCTTCAAAAATTTTCTAAGGGTTGACCAGAGACAGTTTTTCTATCTATTGGAGCTCACAAAAAACGATATTTCAAAAACAGAAAACCCTATGAGATCAACCATTTCCGCAGAGGAGAGACTAGCTGTCACCCTGAGATATTTGGCTACAGGTAGGACCTCCTTTTATTAAGTAGAGTATATATGTACATGTATACTACATGCAGATACGAGGAAAATGTAAAATAAAATTCCAATTTAAAATTTTTGACCTATATATATTCCCATTTCCTCACACAGGGGAGAGTTTCAGAAGTTTGGGTTATTCATTCCGAATAGCTCATAACACCCTAAGCAGTATCATTCCAGATGTTTGTACCGCCCTGTTCAATGCCCTTAAACATGTGCATCTCAAGGTAAACATAGACATGCTGATTATTCAATAAACCTTTGAAAATAAAAAAAAATTGTGGAAAAGTATACACTGTGTCAAGTTAAATATGCTAATTACTAATCATAGGTACCATCTTCTGAGGCCGAGTGGGAGAATATTGCCAGGGAGTTTATGGAAAGATGGAATTTCCCCAATTGCCTCGGAGCTTTGGATGGAAAACACGTTGTCCTTCAGGCTCCATTTAAAAGTGGCTCATTCTACTTTAATTACAAAAATACACATAGTGTTGTTTTAATGGCTTTGGTTAATGCCAACTATAAATTCATATACGTAGATGTTGGCAGCAATGGGAGGGTGAGTGACGGTGGAATATTTAGGGATTGCACCCTGCGCAGTGCCATGGAAGACAATTCTTTAAACATGCCGGGCCCAAGACCTCTTCCTGGGAGAGAGAGGGACGTCCCTTATGTTATTGTAGGGGATGAGGCATTTCCACTTAAAGAGTACCTAATGAAGCCCTACCCTCAAAGATCAGGTCTTGATGATAAGCAGAGAGTATTTAATTATAGGTTGTCAAGAGCCCGCAGAATCGTAGAAAATGCGTTTGGGATTTTGAGCAATAGGTTTAGAGTACTGAGATCCCCAATTCTGCTTTCGCCACAAAAAGTGGAAATTTTGGTACTGTGCTGCTGCGCTCTTCATAATTTTTTGCGGCCCGATTTTCAAGTGGCAGTCACAGAGTGTGAGACGCCCCGGGAGATTGGCACAGGAATGGTCAGTTTGTCTAGTCAAGGATACCCCAGCAGTCAGAATGCCCGAGACATCCGTGATGAATTCAAGGAATATTTCTGCACTAACGGACAAGTACCGTGGCAAACAGCTACTTAAGTACGTCTATTACAGTATGTTCCTGTAAAACATTCTATAAAGTTATTAATAAGTAAAAGAATAACGAAATAAATACACCAGTAATTCCATGCAAACACTTTATTGTTTTTAGAAGTGATAATGCTACATCAAAACATGCAGATATAATAAAAACAAATTTTCTTTTTAATTCCGTCTTCGGATGCTGAGGTTTGACTGTAATTAAATTGATAATTTTGAGGCATGTATTGCTGTTGATTTTGCTGCAAAAAAGAAACCTGCGTTTCGCATATCAAATTTTGAATTTTGTTTTTTAGAACACATTTTTGGATAGTATTTGGCATGGACATTAGGGATCGGCCAACATATTTACCGAAAATTACATCATCAGATTCTTGATCTTCGTCAGGCTGATTTAAGCAGTCTATGGCTTTTTGGAGTAAAAGATCCGACTGACTCTTTTTACAAATGTCCTTTTTTTCTTCAGAGGTGTAGAATTATTTTCTGATGCTGTAACTTCCAGAAAGCTGTCATCTTGATCCATATCAGTTGAAGGCTTGAAAATGAATTATGATTTTTATGTCAAATTAATTGATATAAATTATGACATATCATAAGCAATTAAGCAACAAATATAAATGTCAGCAGATCTCACGCATTAGCTAAATAATATATGGAAAAAAAATAAATGTATATTCTTACAATGTTAGATTTTGACTTCCTTTTCTTCACATTGGGTTTTAAAAATCTATCCAGGTGTTGAAACATTGGCCATTTACTCTCGTAAATTTCCTCTGTCCCTGAACCACTTCTTTTTGAATCTTCAACTTTGTTTAATTCCCTCCTGTAGTAAGTCCTAAGATTGTTGATTTTCTTTTGAATTTTGTCTACTGCAATAAATGTTATTGAAATATAGATAAGAGATAGACTGTTTGATTCGGATGGGGGATAGTATGATTTATAAATAATTTTGTATAACCTCACATTCTGTACCAGAATATTGTTTAAATGTATGAACAATTGATGGTAAGACCGCGGGACATTAACTGGCAAGATTGGAAATACACAGCTTACGTCATTTCTATCCGTTACTGTCAAAACATTCAGTGATAGACAATGAAATGGGCGGGTACAATTTGACGCGGACGTGGGGAAAACATCGGATTGAAATTGCAGATCGAAATTCATTTTCAATCTACCTCAACTACTCTAGAAGGCACGTTAATACTGATTGACCCAAGTGAGAAAATTAATGATTTCAATTTTGGTATAGTTTGAAGATAATTTAAATAAATCAAAATTTTCTATCCAATGTTTCAAAGATATGTATGAAGACTGAAGAGACAAATATTTGATTTCTGTTTGTTATAATTTATGTAAGTGTCGATGTGTGTGTGTGTGGGGGGGGGGGGGGGGCTCAACGATCTTGGGAAAAAATAAGAAAGTTATAAAAAAAACCATTAAAGACAAAACTAAAAAAGCTCATGTCATCTTGTCATCATAAAATATAAAATTAATTGGTACAAAGCTATATATATATCTGACTCGACAATTTTTACACGTACCCCCTTTCTAGAATAAAATCTCCTGAAAAATAATCTTTGTCTTCTATGACCTCTCGCGTCCTTAGAATTATAAGCTTAAACTCATAGTCTCATATTAATGTGAACTTCAAACAATATGTATTTGGAAGTTGAAATTAGTTGATTTTCGCATCATACATTCACTCTTTGCTCGAAAACAGCTCAGGTGGATTGAAAATAAATTTCAATCCGATGTTTTAATTTACCCACTTCCGCGTCGAATTGTACTCGCCCATTTCATTGTCTACCACTGCAGTATACCCAGTGGCGGATTTAAGGGGGGCGCACCTGGCGTGCGCCCCCCTAAAATTGTCTAAGTTTACGTAAATCACAGTTTCGTCTAGAAAATGTAAACATGCCTACTTGGTAGACCTCATTTTTACCCTACAAAATCTCTAAAATCCAGGAGCGCCCCCTGGGCCCCCACCAGGCCTTTGCCCTGGACCCACTTGGGGCCTCAAGGCGGCCCCCATACCCCTTGCCTACTTTTGGCGCCCCCTCTAACTTCAATTCCTGGATCCGCGCCTGATACAGATAGAAATGACGTATGCTGTATATTTCCAACCTTGCCAGTTAATGTTCCGCGGTCTTTTATTTCTAATATGCTGTGTCTTTGATAATTATTGTAATAATTGTGTTTATGCCAATATTTGTATTTATTGTCATGTCGATGAAGGTCGGATTATTTACTTCAAATAAGATCTAGGACAGATTATTTATTTTCTTTGCCACTGATAAAGTGTAACGTGCAAAAATGGAAAACATCAAAGTAAACAACTGTCATTTGGAAAGGGGGGTCAGGGAAAAATTATTTATTTCCTGTCCAGTCGAGGACAGATTATTTATTTTCAAAATCTGCCAAGCCGCTTAAAAGATATTTTTACACCTCATTTTTTATTTTGAAATTAGAGCGTATCTAGGCCTAATGCCTGTGATAGAAAGAGGGAGAGAGAGAAAGTATGTAAGCATCTTACGAATTTATCGCCCTTTGTATCTGAAGAAAATGTCAACAAAATAATTTGAAGGTCAAGAGCTTGTAATAAAGTATCTATGGAAAAAACTTAATAAATACACACACTTTATAAAATTTATGATCAGCTTTTATTCATATGTAAGTAACCCTGTTCAGGTGTATTTGATACTTTGAAGTTTATGTGGGCCTGTATATTCATTTTTAAAACTTACCACCAAGGTGGAGGGATGCGTCAATTCGCTCTACAGCTTGTCGCCTTGCATTTTTATCAGAGTATAATTTTGAAGTAACATCCCACAGTGCAGGCTCGCCTTCGTATTGCATAATAAGTTCTATATCGGCTGCAAGAGAATCTTCTTCTTTATTTTCACAATTAGTCGCCATTTTTAAAACCTCTTTGAAAGGATTGTTTCCCTTTGTTGAGTGAACCAAAGGGTAAAACAAGTTGTGAAATGACAGACACTCCAAATATACAGATAACAATATTTACCTTTTGAATCTGGAGAAAATTCTTTTTTTTATTACATGTATTTATTTATTTTTTTAATCGCCTTTTTTCACTTCCAACCAATTCATATACATATATTGATATTTAAGCGTATGTATATGAAGCTACACTACCACAAATAATTAACTCATAACCAGATGCAAGTGATCCCTTTGGATTTGTGAATACTATATAATATTAAATATACAGATTTATTTTCGCCCTTTTGCACTTGCGAACAATTTTGCTCCGTTTTCAATTCGTTCAGTTTAAGAAACTGTGTTGCACGTTCTACTGTTTTAATTCACCCAACCATTAAGAGGGCGAAAGAGGCGAAAATAAAACGGCGACAAAATTTTCCATATATACAGCTGTATCCACATCTATGCCACATACGGATGTTTCGTTACCTAGTATTACCGTTTGACTCTTGAAATTCCCTTCATTTTTCCAATAGCTGTAAAAAGTTTAGTTCTCTAGTATTGTCAAAATATACAAGTCCAGACTCGAAATAATACACCATTTTAAAGTATCTCTACACGCGATAAAATATAATTTATTTTATCAATAATACAAATCAAAATGTCAAGTTACTATGGCGGTAAAGTAATTTCATCTTTTATTTCTCTGTTCTTTATTTTCCAAAGGTATCATTTTAGTTTACTGATAACCTTTCAGTATCAATATTTACATGTCATATGCGATAAATTGAATATGTGTTGATTAATGTATTGTAAATAACTTTGAGTAGCATTTATGCTAGAAAGGCGCTAGGCTATATAAAAACAATTATTATTATCATTATTATTTGAGAAATGCATTTAATAGAAACGGTTTATAATAAGCATAGAATATTCAAACCCTGGTTTTTCTATATACATTGCATGGGTGGTACTTTTTAAATTCATTACTAGAGATTAAATTTTAAAGTTTTTGCCTTCTTGTCGCGGGAAATGTCATTGTGACGTCACGATTTTCTTCGAAAGTCGATTGAAAATCTGACGGCCATCCGATTTCCAAACGACTTTCAGACTTTGCTTTCGACTTTCGACTTGGGTGGTCACACGGTAAGATTTTTGTCGAAAGCAAATCGGGTGAAAAAATCGGATGGAAAATCTGATGAAAAGTCGCATCGTGTGACCGCTGAAATCGATCTTTAAAATTGTTTAAAATTTTACAGTAGTACATGCAAATTGGTGAGCGACATTAAAATTCTTAATTTGGTATGTTTTGTTGATGAAGACTGTCATCAGTTCATAGGGAAAATGAGAATATATCGTCGCTGTAATATCAAAATGTCGTAAGTCGATTTTTGGCGCAAAATTTTTATTGCTAATTTGGAATCTGCAATATTGAATACATGTTCTTTCAAAACGTCATGTCTCTGGGCAGACGTGTGATAAAAGCGCGTATGTCCAGTGGATGCATTTTTTCTGACAAAAGGTTGTATGTCTCTGGGCACTGACAAGGATGTCACTGGCAGTCTGATATCAAGGTAAAAATGATAATTTTAGTTAATTCTTTTATAATTTTTACTAAAAAATGTGTTCAACATACAAAAAAAGTATATTTATTTAATAAACAGAGAAATCAATGGAAAGCTTGATGAAAAGTTAGATATAAGTTTACTTCATGACAAACTGAATTCTATTTCCGCAGTTTGTAACTGTTAACGTTAAACTGCAATCAATTAATGAGTATGTTCATATAATAAATTTTAGAGCGTTCTAATATCAGATTTGTACGCTTACAATACATTGCAGGGATTTGTTTCAATACTTTACTGGAGATACGACAATCTGTACGGAAAAAAAAACATCCAGGACAGAAAGGAAAACATTAGACATTCGACATTTTGAAAAAAAATGTTTTTGTCTGTCCTGAAAAGTTGGGATTTTTGACTTACAACATTTTGATATTACAGCGACGATATATGGAAGAATGTAACTTGTCCACAAATTAAGTCGACCCAATCCGC